AAAACAGTGACCACTAGTTAATCAAAATTAACGGAAACGACCAGGTTTTCTTCCTTTGCCTCTAATTAGCCTTTTTTGGTTTTTGTTTGACAAGATCCCGAACTCCATATTTTTTTCTCTCTCTGGAAGTTTATCGTTCCTTGATGGACTACTCGAGGGCGAAATTCCATCCGAATGTTGTAAATCCCCTCGGATCGGATTATAGCCGGAAGATGGAATGTTGGGTGTATTCTCACGTCCATAAAGAGCCGAGAGCAATTATGTTTTGCATAATTGCACCCTCCCGGGCCGACTTTCGGCCCCTTCTCCCCCGGGCGTCGCTCCAAACGATTCCCAATCCAATCCCGGGTACATTATCAAATTCCTTGAAGATTAGCCGCATTCCCGTTCTAGGAGAAATAATACTGATTATGAGGTTCAATGCAAATCGAGAATTACTTTTATTGCCACATTCCATCAAAAAACGGGCTCCTGCCTACCGCTGAAACACAACCAGGTAGTACAACCGCTCGGTACAATCCATTAAGGCAAATTTTAATAATCATGAGCTACAAAGTCATAAAAACACAATAAAACAAAATGTTCAATAAGTTTTTTAAAAATACTATATTCCACTAATTCAGAATTCACGTGATGCAATTGCATAATTAGCATAAATTCGAATAATACTTAAAAAAAAAAACTATTTCTCTAATTTTTTGGTTTTTGAAATATATCCTATGCTTTTTTCTTCTCCTTGAAAATGTATTAACGTATTAAAAAAATGTAAAATTAAATTAATTTCCAGAAATAAACTTCTTTGAAACACAGATTGCCAAAACATTGCAATAAAACAATATTCTACCTTCTGGAATGGCCTAAAACGAATGAAAAAAAAAACATTCTACTTTCTAGAATGGTCTAAAAAGAATGAAAAAAACAATAGAATATTCCACCTTCTAAAATGGCTTAAAAAGAACGAAAAAAACAATAAAATATCCTACCTTCTAGAATGAGCTAAAAAGAATGAAAAAAAATATTCTACCTTCTAGAATGGTCTAAAAAGAATGAAAAAAACAATAGAATATTCCACCTTCTAAAATGGCTTAAAAAGAATGAAAAAAAAACGATAAAATATTCTACCTTCTAGAATGGTCTAAAAAGAATGAAAAAAACAATAAAATATTTTACCTTCTAGAATGGCCTAAAAAGAATGAAAAAACAATAAAGTATTCAACCTTCTAGGATGGCCTAAAAATAATTTAAAAAAACCAATAATATATTCTATTTTCTAGAATGGCCTAAAAAGAATGAAAAAAACCAATAAATATTCTACCTTCTGGAATGGCCAAAAAAGAATGAAAAAACAATAAATTCTTCTGTTTTCTAGAATTGCCTACAAAGAATGAAAAACAATAAAATATTCAACCTTCTAGGATGGCCTAAAAAGAATTTTAAAAAAAACAATAAAAAATTCTATTTTCTAGAATGGCATAAAAAGAATGAAAAAAAAATATTCCACCTTCTAAAATGGCTTGAAAAGAATGAAAAAAAAACAAAATATTCTACCTTCTAGAATGGTCTAAAAAGAATGAAAAAAAAACAATAAAATATTTTCCCTTCTAGAATGGCCTAAAAAGCATGAAAAAACAATAAAATATTCAACCTTCTAGGATGGCCTAAAAATAATTTTAAAAAACCAATAATATATTCTATTTTCTAGAATGGCCTAAAAAAAATGAAAAAAACCAATAAATTGTTCTGATTTCTAGAATTGCCTAAAAAGAATGAAAAAACAATGAATTATCTATCTTCTAGAATGGCCTAAAAAGAATTAAAAAAAACAATAAAAAATTATATTTTCTAGAATGGCCTAAAAAGAATGAAAAAACAATAAATTGTTCCAGAATTGCCTAAAAAGAATGAAAAAATAATAAAATATTCTACCTTCTAGAATGGCTTAAATAAAAAAATAAATAAATCAAAAGAATAATAAATAAAAAAATCTACCTTCTGGAATGGCCTAAAAAGAATAAAAAAATAAAAAATTATATTTTCAAGAAAAAGAATGAAAAACACCAATATAATATTCTACCTTTTAGAATGTCTTAAAAAGAATGAAAATATATTTCGTTAAAGACAAACAAACCCAACAGCCAGAAAACAAAAAACAAAAAAGTCGCGGTCTGGTGTGACGTAGGTTTTAGAAAAACATATTCTTTTTCGTACCAACGTTTCGATCTTTATTGGGATCGTCTTCAGGGCTCACAGTGTTTTTTTTCTGCGTAATTGTGCGATTCTTGTCTGTCGTGTTGAGAGTGCCCACAAAAAGTAAGTATAAGTTGCATTTAGTAAAAATCGAACTTGAAAGCCTCAGGCATCCTATTATTTTTATAATCGTTTTCCTACCTGTCCCAGTCACACAATTTTTGATTCTTCTATCAAAACGTTTTACAACATAATTAATTAATGTTTTAAATTTGTTTTTCACCTTGGAAAATATCTTTAAATGAATTGAACACCTGCGAGAACCATATGAGTAACTGTTCATTTCTGTTGACTATTCGTCCTCCTAACAAGATTTCTCATAGCAAACCACATGATTTTCCTTGTATATCAAATAAACATTCTACGAAAAAATAAATAAAAGTTAAAGAAAAGAAAAGATTGTTATGTTCGTTATGCTCGCCACAAGGAAAAATAAATTTAATTTTTGGATAATTTTGACGGAGCAAAATCTTAATTTGAACTTTATAGCTTCTGATGTTAGCTAATATTTTTTTATTTGTTGTCTTTCCTGTGTATCTGACATATCATTTTCGATTCCTGTTCTAAACAAAAGTGTTACAATATAACTTTAAATTAACACTTGTTTCAACTTAAAAAATATCGAATTTGAACTTGAATAGATAATCAACGTGGTTGGGCTTCGTTTTTCATTCTTTTTACCAATGTCTTTCTGGCGAGACTAGGACAAAACCACCAAGATTGCACAATTTTACAATATCTTGGAATAGCTTACCTCATAAACGGATAATTGCTATAAAAAAATTTTCTTTCTCACTCTTATATTCCCAGTAGTGTATTTATGTTAATATCCTTGAAAATTTCAACACACCTTCCTTACAATTCACTTACCTATTTATAAGTTCTTATAGTTTTTTCCTAGGTCAGTAGGATGTTTGGAGTCGAAAGGGAAGGCAATAAGCAAAGTCCGATCACGTTCCGCCATTCTTTTACTTAATAAAAAGTCATGTATTTTTTTTTTGTATCACAAGTAAAATTGTATTTTCAACTACTTCAATGCATTAGAAAAAGAACCAATAAAATTTCCCTTCGTCAAAAAACATATATATTTTTTGGAAAAATAATTACCACATTCTTCTCCCGAAAAATGACGGGTTTTACAATTTTATATTTATATAAGTTTTCTTTTTTTTTGTTTTTTCTCTTTGTATTTCAAATGGCTCTGTTTACAAAAAAACTTTACATTTTATATTTGACAATTTAAATAAAAAACTCGTTATACTCAGCTTATAATAGGTTTTTCTTTATTATAAATTGAGTCTGTACAGGTTTTTTTTTCTTGGTTGAAATGTTTATTGTGTAATTCACACCAGCCTCAAAATATACACTTTACTTCTTTTAATAACTAAACAAATACAAACTAAAAAACAATTTTCAATATGTACAATAATATTGTACAATATAAATTCACAACTTAACAAATTACAATGGGAAAATAATTGTTCAGTGTTATAATAAAAATTATATGCTGTTATATTATAAATAAGATATTAATAATAAAAAAAAGGGTGGATTAAAAAAAATATTAATGTCAGTTCTTTTTGTCTCGTTAGTATTTTATATAACCAATATAATAATAGAATAAATTATATTTTCTTATACTAAATAAGAGGGTTTTTACAAAAGGGAAAACAAAAAAGACTGGCGTGTATTTTTTTTTAAATCTATTTTTACTCTTTTGTAAATTTTTTTGTCCATAATAAAATTCTCATATTTTTTATATTTGCATTTTACAAATGAAAATTAACACTTAAACTCAACAAATTCTCATAAGATCTAATAGGAACATTGTTCAGAGTGTTGAAACTCACTATAAAAAACTCCACTCTTTTATTCTCAGAAATAATAATACATTAATAAAAATGATAAACTTTTTCCTCCATTTTTTTATATAATAAAAAATGCAAGAAAACAGAAAGAAAAGTTCTTTTTCTCTTTTTCTCTGTTTTCATATTTTTTTTAGAAAAAATCCTAGAAAAAGGAAATAATCTTTTAAATATATATATATATAGTTTAAATATTTTTTTCACTTAATTATTAGTTAATAATATCCACATACGTACACTGAAACTACATATATATATATAGTTGCGCGAGGTTTAAGTATTTTTTTCTTTTTTTCTTTCTTAATTTGTACGATTTTTTAAAATCATTTCTAGAAACATTTGTCCCAAAACGTGTCGGGGTTTTTTTTCTTAAATTTTACTGAAGGAAAAAAATCCGTTCACTATCCTTACAACAACTATTATTGCCCAAGGAGACATATTCTTTTTTTAATTTAATATTCTTTTATTATACATTTACACTAAAAAATCTTCTTTTTTTGAGTTTTATTTATTTCTTAGGAACCAAATTTTTTTATATATAATATATATTTATATTGTAATAATTGATTAATAATTATCTATTTTTTTACTTTTTCGTGGAAAAAGTTTCTCTTTTTTTTCTTTTAATTTAATAATAAGTGAGAAATTAACAAGCATTTTCTTTCATTATTTTTGTTTCATTAAATACCTCGGAAATGGAACAATATACCGGAAAAAAAGCACCAGAAAATAATCCAAGGAACAATTGTTATTTCTTTTTAATATCAAAAAGAAAAGAAAAATTGAAACAAGGGCTGTTTAAAGCCTCCTTTCATCAAAAATTCAACACCAACAACACACAATAACTAATTATTTTTTTGTATTTTTCACTTAACTCTTATAATATTCTTTTTTTTAAATAGAAAAAGCATTTCTTGGAACAGGAACCATAAATAGCTATAGTAGGAACCTTTAGCGCTGGGATTCTGGGTATGTGGGAGAGATTGTAGTTTTTTTTCGAATCGAAACCCTTCTGATATGTTTTGTGAATGCTTGTATCAGTATTATTTTTTATTTATTTATTTTTTTTTAACCGAATCGATAAAACGATCTATTATAATTCCGGGGAAGGGATGATCCCAGCAGTCAAGCCCTTCCGGTCTTGCTGGAAGAGTCAGCAAAAATTGCGAGGTTTTCATTTTCAATATTAGTTTATATAACAAGGTCTAGAAAGGGGATATATATATAATTTAATTAAAATTTTGTCAAACCGTTTATGAAGTTTGGGATATGTACACGCTATTGGCCAGCACTGGGCACGGCGAATTTGTCGAAGATGTTGGCGTTTGGGTCCGAAGGCTTGAGCGACTGCGCTGCGAGGGCGGTGATCTGATTGACGACGTTTTCCATCTCGACGGACAGCCTCGGCGACAGAGGCGGCTCGGAATGGGACATCTCCGTGTGACGTTTGAAGTCGTGGGCGTTGTCGAGGACGGCGTCGCACTGCTTGCACGCCGCCCGGGCCCGGACGAGTGTCACCTGCCCGGGGGCGAGGCCGCACCCGTGACTAGAAATGCTGCTTTCCTTCGCGAACGTCAGCCTGCACTTTATGCAGAGGTACGCCGCCGCCGTGCACACCTCCACCGCCCCCGGGGGCACGCTGTTGAGCCGGACCGAACCCCCGCCTCCTTCTTTCGCCGCCTCCAGCACAGCCGACAGCGAGCCGGGGTCCAGTTGCAGTCTACTCAACGGTGTCCCCACCTCGTTACCTACAACACAAAAAATCAAACATACAATCAATTAAAAACCACATAAAAGTACTAAAATAAAATCATCAACAAACACTTGCGTAATTTACACAAGTCAGATGCTAATTATTAAGCAAATTCAATTAAAAACTAGGTGATGCAACTATACCGCAAAGGCTTCTTAATCCAAACTAATTGGTTTAGCTAATTAGATAATCGATAATTATCTAAGGCTTCTTTAAAAACCCGGCTCATCCGTCAGGAAAGTAGTGCTTCCTTACTAAAACGCACCAACCTTATATGCAATATCATAAAATTTCATTAAACAGCGACAAAGATCTAAAGGCGGCTCCAGACATACGGAATTCGCCGAAGAACTATGTCCGGTGCTGTCGGTTTTCTCGTCCGCATCAAAGTGCACGAATTTGTGAATTAACCGCACACAAACCATCCACACATTCGGGAATCAACTGTAACTGTACCAACCTTCAACCAACTGTCAACTGTACTTTGTTGAAGACGTGAGGAGCATTCAAGAATGAGATAGTTTAGAAAACCACCTTTGTCATTTTTTTTTGCCGACGTTTCGACTTTTGTTCGGGTCATCTTCAGTCCTGGGTAAACATATGTTGATTGGAAAAAATACAATTTAAGTGTGTGGAGTTTAGTGACGTTACTTGATTATTTGTAGGTCGTGAGATGCGGTCTGGTGTGACATAGGTTTTAGAAAAACATTTTTTATCGTGCCAACGTTTCGATCTTTATTGAGATCATCTTCAGCGCTTAAAGTGTTTGCTTCCGTGTAGATGTGTCATTCTTGTCTGTCGTGTTGAGCCCAATTCTATTTAATTACTTATTATTTTTATAAAATATTATAATTTATGAAAAAGTTAGTGTCATGAGCAGGATTCGAACCAACGTCCCGAAGGAAGCCGGAGATGGGTTCGATTCCTCGACTTTTTCATCTCAACCAATACCTTACTTAAAATGATTAATTAATTGAAATTCTATTTAATTACTTATCAAAGAATATGGGACTGCATGACTTTTTGCAAAAGTTTTCAGGTGTTCCATGGGTAAAAGTATTTATTAGCATAAATTGAAAATGTGAGACATATTAAAGGCAGATGATTGCGAAAAGTTCATATCAAACAAAACCATCGCTGGTCAGGACGATTGGAAACAGTTCTCCAACAACAGTATGTTTTCACGTTGTCTTGTGAGGTGAATGTATTTATTAGCGAGAATATATGTGAAACATGTCAAAGACTGAATATGTAATGCCGAAACGTTCATGACAAATAAAACAAATGAGAAAACAAGCATGAACAAGGGAGCGAGGAGAAAACAAGCATACTACCTGTTTTATACAAAACGTAATATTACATATGGAGTAAATGTATTTATTAGCGATAATTTAAAATGTGAAACATGTGAAAGGCAGAAGATGGCAAAAAATCGGAAATTTCGTGACAAACTAAACCGTAAGGTGAGCCAGGATCATTGTAGTCGTTCATACCACATCACATTTTCACGCTGCCTTGTAGGGAGAATGTATTTATTAGCGAGAATATATAATGTGAGACAGGTCAAAGACTAAATATGTAATGCCACAAATAAAACCGGTGAGATCAAGGTAACCTGGAGGGCCGGAGACAGGCAAACTACACGTTCTGTAAAATTGTTCACGCTATCCTATGGGGTAAAAGTATTTATTAGCGTAAAGTTAAAATGAGAGACAAAATGAAGGTAGAACATGGCATAATGTCAGTAAATTCATGTCAAAAAGACCATAAGACAAACTAGGACGATTGGAGACGATCGTATTACAGATTTTCACGTTGTCATGCGGAGGTAAATGTATATATAAGCGTGAAATATAATGTAGGACATGTTAAGGACTGAAAGTGTTTAAAAACCGGAATCATTCTTGGCAAACGGAGCTAATGAAATAACCCGTTGGATAAGATTCATGTTTGCGAATACATTGTCTATGATATGACATGATTTGGTGGATTTTTGACAAAATATTTGTTTGTTTTATGTTTTTATAGCCTTATTTTTTTATAAATCGCAAATGTATTTAAGAAAATAAAACAATAGTCTGTCAAATTTGATCAGAAAGTCTAAAATTCGATGAAATTCACGTCTTGTTTATTCTTGCGTCGACAGGTTTTGTAAAAGCTATTTGTTACTTTGAAAAAAGGCCGTCTATTAAGAGAAGTGTAAACATTATCTTGGATCTAAATAATTTCAGATGCAGGGCGCGTAAAGGTGTCGGCCGGCAATTACGCCTGGAAAGACGGTTTTGTTAACAGGAAGCAATTATGTTGTACGGAATGTAATTTAATTGACGACCAGGAGGAGCCGACCATTATTTTTGTTAGCTTAATGGTCGGCCCGTCGGACAGAAGGGAAAAGCCCAGATAGGATCGGCCACTAATTTAATTGTTCCGACAACTGTTACGCTCCTATGAGCTTTGTTTGGGGAAGTGCAGGCGAAAATCCGGTGAGAATCCGCCAGAAAAAGCCGACCGTACTCCCCACACAATTGTACCGGCGGTTAAGGAAATTTTACAAGGTTCTCTTGGTCCAATCCGGCAAATTCGGTATTGAAATCTATAGAAAACTTGTACAAAAAGATTTTCCCCAAAAAATTGTTTAAGAATTCACAGTTCAATCACCCTTGGAAGTTTACGTTATAGAACGAATTTCTATAAGTAATTAGGAATTGACATACTCGCTCACTATATAGAGCCAAAGCGTCCCACCACCTTTAATCACCCAAGATCAATTCAATCCATCTTCAATCACTATCTTGGTCCTAGCGTTTTCGTGTTGATTTTCTTCTTTTGTATTAGCATGAATTTTTGAGACTTACAACTCTATCATGATAGACAAAACAATAAAGCAACAACTAGCAACGTCAGACCGACCAAACCAGCGAGAACTGGCAGGACACGATGACCGGGGCATCCATATTTGCCATTTCGTGCTCCTTCTTTAGTGGGTTTTATTTATCAGTCTATATCTTCAGTCTTTAACCTGTCTCATATTATATATCCACGCTAATACATACATTCACTTTTACAAAACAACATGTAAAGAAAATTCCTGTATAATGATCGTCCTCTCTGGTTTTATCGGTCAAAAACGCTTCAGGATTTCCCCGCATTCAGTTTCGCATTATATCATATTATATATTCACGCTAATAAATGCATTCACTTTTTATTACAAGACACTGTGAACACCCGCAGAGAAACGTTTTTGCGGTATGATCACCGATTATTACTGCTAGCATGTAATTTTCCTTGTCATGATCGCTCCGATATTTTCCTATATTCACTCACGTAATATTCACTCTAATGAATATATTCACCCCCAACAAGACACCACGAACTCCAGTGGAGAAACGTTTTCGTAGTATGAGCGCCTCCGATCATTCTTGTCGGTTTATAATTTTTGTTTGTCATGACCATTCCGGTATTTCGACATAGTCAGCCTTTAACATGACTCACAATTTAGTCACTCTAATAAATTCATTCTCCCCGACAAGGCAAACACAAAACTATGGTTGAAATAGGTCAGGCAGTATGACTATCTCCGATTGTTCTGTCCTTTCGACACCTCCAATCTTGAACATGACTCACAATTTATAGTTACTCGACTAGATACATTCACCTCCAGACGGCAGCATGAAACTAGGTAGAAATAGGTCCTTCTGTATGACTGCCTTCGATTGGTCCAACTTATCGACATCTTCAGCCTTTAACATGACTGACGTGACATAGTCACTCTAATAAATACATTCACCTTCACAAGGCAAAATGAAGCCAGGTAGAAATAGGTCCTGCAGTATGACTGCCTTCGATTGGTCCAATTTATCGACATCTTCAGCCTTTAACATGACTGACGGTATATAGTCACGCTAATAAATACATTCACCTTCACAAGGCAAAAATGAAGCCAGGTAGAAATAGGTCCTGCAGTATGACTGTCTCCAACTTACTGACATCTTCAACCTTTAACCTGACTCACAGTATATAGTCACTCTAATAAATACATTCACCTTCACAAGCCTAAGTGAAACCAGGTAGAAATAGGTGCTGCAGTATGACTGTCTCTGATTGATCCGACTTATCGACATCTTCAGCCTTTAAAATGACTGACAGTATATAGTCACTCTAATAAATACATTCACCTTCACAAGTCTAAATGAAACCAGGTAGAAATAGGTTGTACAGTATGACTGTCTTCGATTGATCCTGTTTTTATCTTCAGCACTTAACCGGCCTAACATTATATCACGTTAATACATAAATTCACTTGGGCAAACCACCTCTCAAGACAAATCCTCATATGAAATATCTTTCATATGAAATAGCTTTCACTGAAGGTAACATATTCTGAAGAAGTAGTCTGATGGGGTAAGGTCAGGAAAATGCAATAGGTGTTTTTTGTTTGTTCTTTATATTTTAGCATCCCTGGGAATGTTGAAGAAATATTGATATTTAAAGTGAGATATTTTGTCGGAGTGTGCCATCAGACTCTGACCGGAAGAAAAATGATGGAAAAAGGTCGCTTAAACTGTCCTGATTAAAAGAAGCGAGTAGGCATGGTAAAATTTCAAAACTCATTCATAGCGTGTGATGGAATTTTGGAAAATCTCCGAAAGCATACAGGCAAAACGCGCAAAATTTCGAATCGGTTTATTCCGCGTGTAACAACCCTTCCTTTCAGCCGATTCCGTGTAGGAGTCGGCCCGGGTCTCAAAGTATCGGCTACACCCGCCTTTTTATTGCGCCGTAAAAATAATGTCAGAGTTTACGGCCTGTCCGAAGGCAAGGTTGTCTCACAACATGGCAACTTTGTAACGGCCGGCGTGGCCTCATCTTTATCATCGTTCCAATCCCGCTAATTACTTCCAGGAGTTCGAAATAAATAAAATCGGAAGTGGGGGGAAGCGTGCCGTATGGAATCAAGGATGACCGATAGCCTCGGGACACTGACGTTCTGAACC